TTCATAGGGAGAAACATCATTTACCGATTTGGCATCCCTTAATCCATCGTCACCAACAACGACCTGCAATTCATGGGTAAAGATTTGGCGAAGTTCTTAAAAAAATATGACATCAAGCAGCATATGTCTACGCCAAGATATTCTCAAGGCAATAAGCAGGCCAAAGTATCTATCAAGATGATCATCGACTGCCACAAGAAATCCCCCACCAGTAAGAAAAGAAAATGGCCAGACGAACTCCCTGGATGTCTATGGGCATATCGCACCACCAAAAGACAAGCAACCGAAAATAGATGGCCACAAGCTTAAATCTGACAAATGAGAAGTACGAGCAGACTATCACCCTCATCGCAGCTTACCAGCAGTAGTTCCTTTCCAGCTACAACAAAAGGGCCAAGATCCGGCAATTCCAACCCAAAGATCTAGTCCTAAGAAAAGCCATCATCATTGCCCACAAAGAAGGCTAAAAAAAGGTAGATCTCATATGGGAAGGTCTGTACAAGATCAGCAGAATAGGCGGCAAGAGTAATTACACCCTCGCCACCATGAAATGATAAAAAGATCGAAAAATAGTGGAGCACTTACAATCTGAAGAAGTACTATGTGTGACCTTCCATTACATCAAAGCCCGAAGACTCAAGAAGCTCGACGGGCACCACCTCACAAGTCGAGGACTATCTAGTTGTTATGCAGTTCCTACCTTACAGCTAAGTTCTCGTTCGTTTCACTTGTTTTTCAATAAAGAATTCAGAAGTAATCATAACTTGGCTCGGCTGCATGCTTACAACAACTGATCACTTCGGCACTTCAAAAGAAGACTACGCCCTTCTTAGGCACCCATCGCAAGAATTGCGCCCCCCGAGGGACCAACCATACTCTCCAGTTCGAGAGAGTAAACTAATTGCTCTCCAGTGCGAGAGGGTAAACCAATTCCCTGACACCCATATGGGTTAGCTCTCCAAGACGAGAGGATAAACTTTACACTCTGAATATCCAGACGTGGATAAGCCTGGTTGCCCTAGTATAACTAGATGCATGATGGCTTGCGCCGGGATTCCTAGAATTAGCCACAATGGTCTTTTTCAAGGCTTAGCTAACTGAAGGATTTTGGGTCTCTTGGCCTAATCTGCAGGGAACCAGGCCCTAGAGACGGAAGGGGCACATTACGCAGTACGCCCTATAGACGGTTGCCCTGGAATCCTAAAGCTGCTACCGAGTGCACTAAGGTAGTCTACGGATTCCGGAAGATTGCCTACGGCTTACCCTTCGAGCAGTAAAGCCGCGCTAGACTTATACAACCGCACATTCTTGTGAAAGGTTAAATAAGCTAGCGCGCATATACAAAGTTTTATCCACTGCCGACATGCTACGTAGTCGATAAGCTTCACCTCTGCCAAGCGCGGAACAACCTACACCAAATCCTAAAGTGTTGTGATACTTGCTACGCAACCTACGGAATTAAAGAAAGTCAAGGTTAACAGCCTAGTGGTTACGCGGACTTGTCTGCTTCTGTAAGTAAGGCATCCGGCTGCCAACCCTATGGCTAACAACTTTGCAAAATTCTACACCAACACCTACGGCTGCATAGGCTACGCGTGCTTGTCTGCTTATAAAAAAGTAGCATACCTGCCATTGGTCTATCAAGTCTAAAGGTTAAGGCATGAACAAAAGAAGCGAAGATGAAGAAAAGTGAAGGAAAACATGTTTATAAACAACTAGCAAAGGCCGAAGGAGTTCAAGCAAAACAAGAGCTACAAGAAAAATAAAATAAAATCCTAAAGGCTACCTAGAAGACTATAGCAGCTTGGACATCCCACGACTACTCGGTCGCCACACTTTCAGCAACCACGACGCTCTTAGCAGCCGTATCATCCGGCGCTTCACCCTCGGCTGCCCTAGCCTGGGCACTAACTTCTCCAACTACTTCACCAATAGAAGCCTTAAAAGTAAAATCAAGCAAGTATTCCGGAAAAATAGAGAAGGTCTCGAAACCCCGAACCCAGCCTCTTCACCTTTCAGCTGCTCATCCTCCTCGAGCAGACCAACATGGATGCTCTGCAGCTCATCCACTTCTTCCTTCAGACTTTCATTGATCTTCAGTACACCTTGAAGTTCCAACACTTGGGGTTCAAGCCTATCGATGATTCTCTTGAAGTGGATCACTTGATTATAAGCAACAATCAACTTTTCATCCTTTGCATAAGCAGCGAAACGAAGCTCAGAAATGGCACCCTCAAAATCTTGAATCTGAGTTAACGATCTCTTGGTGAGAGGTCTCAAGCCGCAGAGAAGCAGAGGGCAGAGATATTAGACCCCTTCAAAGCAACGGGCTCAAAATCCAACGTTTTAATCTTCTCGGTCGAGGAGTAAGCTTCAGCTGCCATAGTTTTCGCCACCTCCTTGGCAGCCTTGCTATATCTGCATCATAGCAAGCAGATCAGTCACTCTATATTGTGTCGTATGCTTCGCAAAGGAACTTGAGAAAGCAAACATTTCTAACGCCATCAACAAACTTGGCACATACATCTATATCTTTAAACAGATCTGGTTTCAAGAGCACACAGATCTCATCAGCCTCCCCAGAAGCAGGCTTAGTGGATTTCTCACAGTTGCCCACGCAAGCAGTCTCTTCCTTCCCAGCAGGAGAATCAATCTCGGTAGCAGAGGAATTGGGCCTTGGCGCCACCTTAGCAACATAGTCCATCTCATTGCTCTTTCAAATAGCAAGCTTCTCCAAATATGAACCAGACTTGGCTCTCAACGGATGTCTTGGTACAAACTTTAGCACTGGGGGCATGAAAGGACCTTTACATTGAGAAATTCTATCAGCAATCATACAAGCCATTCTCGACATGGCTAGTGCCATATGCTCAAATCTAGCAGCCTCATTTCTCTTCCCATTGGAAGAAATCATGTCAATCACAGGCCTCTCGACAGTTGGCGTACCCTTACAAACAACGGATGAAGTTTTCAGTTTTTTCTTAACCGGCATCTCTTGTACAGGCGGGGAAGATCTCTTTTTCCACCTTCAACAATGCCATTCACGATACTCAGCATGAGAGCTCAACCTATACTAGCTTATCCCTCATTTTTTCCTCTCGGACTAGCAAGCAAGAGGCCTGCATACCTAACATTCCAGCAGCCCATGAGGCCCACAATCTCCTTATTTCTCTCAATCGCCAGCCTGGCCCGAGTCAGGTCTAAGAGCCCAAAGGACATGAGCCATGCGGCTCGCCTAGCACTGCGCCCTAGCGCCACAATCCGCGACCCCAGCCACATAAGCTGCCCTTAGCTCAAGCCAAGCCAAGCTGCCCAAGCAGTGGTCCTTGCCACGACATCTCCTCGGCCCATGCCAAGCCAACTCCTGGCCCCTACCAGCCGACGTGCCGCATCACCCCGACGGCTGCCCTGCAATAGCACTAATCCAAGAAGAAGGCAAGAACAATTAAATTTTTCTTACATCGGTGTGGCACGGAGAAGACGAAGAAATCAACGAAAGACGATCCTTTGCACAGGCAAGATGTAGAAGATTGCTAGAGGAGGGGGAACAAATATCCTCTAACTTTCTCTCTCTTGTGGGGTAGAATAAATTGCTCTCCAAAGTTGATTTAATAACCCACTTAAGGTGGACTTAAATAAGCTTTGAGAGAAGTTTATTTCCCTTTCCTAGAAGGACCTAATTTCCAATTAAAGAGAGAATCATCATCACAATAAGAAGCAATCCTATGTTTCCTGAAGCAAGAAGATCTCTACACCTGTTGCCCCTTTTTCAAGCAGCCCAACAGGTGTGGGGGCATTTGTGGAGCCAAAAATATTCACTAGGCGACACGTGGACTTTTGAACAAAAGAGGACAAAAATACCCTTGAGGGATACCGGGATTTCTACGCGCGAGCAATGGGTAATCATCTTTCAACCAAGTCAAAAGTGCCCAAAATAGGTAACAATTTAAAACCTATTTCACCAAATCCTTTCTATAAGGTAATTCCCAAAATCTAATTTATTCTATATGTTCTATATTCCATTATTTAGCTAAATAATATATTCCTTTCATATTTCCTAAAATTGACTAATTAAGGGATTAATTACCTAATCAATCCCTTAATTATCAATTAAACCACCAAATTATAACCAAAAAACTTACCAAAGGCCGGTTACCCACTAGGGCCGGCCATGCCTTTTATTTTCTGTTTTTTGCTACCATTTTCTTCCCCTTTTATGACATTCAAATAGCTAGTTAATTAGGTTATTATTATTTGCTAATTAACTAGCCAATTATTTCCATAACCCCCCAAAATAACTAGCCCATTATCTCCATAACCTCCCAAAATAACTCATCCTTGGCCTAATGGCCGGCCATACCCTTCCTCTCCTATATATTGGTTCCCATTTTCACCAAACACTAAGGCTAATTCTCTTACAAAAAATCCCAAACACTCTAAACACTTTTTTCTCTCTAAAATTCTAACTTTGGCATCGGAGGTTCTTCGGCCAAAGCCCCCCCCCCCAATTCATCGTGGGCGCATGAGGCTTTTGGCCTTAACCTAAGGTGCTAGTTGTTTTGTAGGTGCAAAATCGTCCAAGATCAAGAAGAAGAAAATTTGCATCCACAACAACCACCGACACAATAAAGGCATTTTGTAGTAGTGCATGCATGTTTGGTCTCTAAAGAAAAGTAACACTAAAAATCTATGCAACCAAAAAAGCAAAACTAAAAATCTAGGTATCCGCTCCACAACAAGCCATTCTAGCTAGTGCATAATTGAAATACAAACCCTACTTTTTGGACCATTTTGAAAAACATTATTTATTCAAACAAAAATACAAACCCAACTCTCTTCTCTTCCACCACCTCCGTATCCACCTTTAAATACCCCTCCCCCTTCTTTTAGAACTTGCACCCAACAACTCTCTCTAATCCTCTCTCTCTCTCTCTCTCTCTCTCTCTCTCTCTCTCTCTCTCTCTCTCTCAAATTGAGAAAATAAAATTAAACCCTTCAAAATGGAACAAAATAATCTACCAGTAATTGCTAGGAGAATATGGAGTATAGTACGTGTAGCTTTCTTCATGCTAAAAAAGGGCATTTCAAAGCGGAAGCTCCTACTCGACCTCAACATGATGATGAAGCGTGGCAAACTCGCCAGCAAAGCCCTAAGCAACCTCATGTTCCACCATCATCATCACAACCACTACCACCCCCACTACAGCAGCACCACCTCTTCTGCCGCCCCACAAGAGTATGAGTTCAGCTGCAGCAACACCCCCAACTACCCTTTTCACCTCATGGGCAAGCGCCGCCACCACAACAATCGCAACAACTTTTTCACATGTGCTCACGCGCAGCTAACTCAGGATGATGAGATGGCGACCGCAGGTGCCGTTAAGGCGGTTATGGAGATGTTGAATAATGATTTGTTGGCTGTGGAGACGGTGGCATCCGTGGCAGCATCACCGGTGCTTCCCGGGTTTGGAAAGAGCCCTATGGTCCGCCAACTAAGGATAACGGACTCACCATTTCCTTTGAGGGAGGCCGATGAGGATAGCCACGTAGATAAAGCGGCGGAGGAGTTTATAGAGAAGTTTTATAAGAATTTGTGGCAGCAGAGGAGAATGCATGAGTAAATCCTATATTTTGAAGATTTGAGTACATCTTATATTATTGTTGATAAATAATAAAAGAGAAGTCGCTTAATTAGTTTCATTAATTGTGTCAAACTGCAGTTGTTGTTTTTTCTTAATTTCAGCTTTTAAGTCCTTGATTGATTTCTATGTTCTTGAAGAAACTGCTTAAGAAAGCACAAAAATATAATAAAAAATAAAAAAAATGTTGGCCATTCCAAATTTTTTGGCTTTTACCCTTATGTGTTTTCTTCTTCAAAATTAACCTTCAAATTCGATTATTTTTAAAATCGTAAGCAGATTCCAACCTTCAAACCCGTATATGTCTGGATCTGGAATATAAAATTACAAGAAAGAAAGGTACAGTATATTCATCTCAGGGTACCAGTTCGTACAGCATATAGAGACTGCAGGAACCAGCTGGGGAAAGTTAATAATTTATTTGATCTTATTTCTTAATTTTCTCACTTTTAATTTGAAACATATCATATTGTATATCATTCGGATGCAAATAACGTGCATGATTTCCACATGAACTTGTTATTGATTTTTTCATATTTAAAAAAGTGATATTGTTACAATTGCAGTACAAGTAATAATTGACAACATACGACAAATGCATGCATACTTTATAAAAAATTTCTATATAATTTGTATAAAAAATGTTAAGAAAACTCTCAAAAGTGAGACTTTACATGGACTCTACGCCATCTCATATTTTTGACATAATCTTTGTGCTAACATTATAGAACATTATGCAAAAAAACATGAGATCACAAACGGTCCATGAAGAGTTCTATTTTAAAAGAGGATCTCTGTATCATTTCTAATTTGTATATTCCAATAATCTTTCATGGAATTTGAGATCTAGAAGTCAGCTGGAAAGTCTGAAAACACTTGTAAATCATTTGAATCTTAGTTTCCAAGTCATGCATAAGCTCCAATTTACAAGGACCATTTTGGGGCCACATTATTCTACCATAATAATTGGAGGGTTAATTTGGACTTTAGAACAACCAAGAGCCTAATGTTATAATTTTATTTTTATTTTTTTAAAATCTCAAACCTGCTTTTACAGCTACAGTACCACTTCCACTACATCCTGATGTGATTCCACTATGTTAAAGTGAAACCAATATGGTACCAAAATGCTGGCCCTCCCTAAAAATATAGTCACCTTTTCTATACTTTTCTTTTTTTCTCTCTTTTCCCCTTTGTTTTTATCAAATTTTATAAGAAAGTAGCTGCTTTGGGTTGGTAATTGGCTACTTTTGCGTATTATATACACAATCACATACCATATACAAATGAAAAGAAAACAGCACTATTGATGTTAGGGTTTCGTAAAGGGCCTTGACCAGACAGCTAGGACCTTTACACAATTACATACCCAAATACGAAGACGATGATCATGCCCATAACTTTAATATTTAATTTTTTAGGGACTGAAAAAAGACGTTGAAACCGTGGGTGAAAATCCAAATTGAATCCTAGTCCAGCACATTTTATTGTGTAGATGAATGAAAGTTTTAGGGACTGATTAATTTATTGGGTAAACCAAGTAATTATTAAATTAAAGCTTTTGCTTCATTAGGATGTTTAAAGGTAGTAAAAAAGTTAAGTTCATAAAGAGGAGATATCAATTTCAATTAAATTTAAATTCATAAACAAGATCAACGTTAGGTAGTTAATTTGATACAGATGGATTAGGTAATATTTGACAGATCAGATATTGATTAATTAAGAGAGGTTGCTTTTAGTATTATTAGCATCATCATCGTGTAAGATTTTTTTAGTACAACGATAACGTTAGTTTGTTAAATAGTTAGTTGTTACGTGGAAAAGAAATAGGTAGGGAAGCATAATTGTTTTCTATCACTGCAAAAAAGTGTCATTTCCATCTTGTAGGATTTTTGTTTTGTTGACATGGATATGAATTTAGAATTTACCATTTCCCAACTTCTACTTCAAATCTTTTGTATCTTATCTAATTTTTTGACAAGAGAAGGTGCAGGGACTCACAGAGAACTAGACACAACATAGATGCAAAAGTTTTGAACTCAACTACTTCACCCAATTCACTTAGGCTACTCAGGGAGAATATCTGACAGGGTCAAACGTTAATTTTCTTTCTGAAGGACTTTAATTCTTGCTAATGTGTTATTTAGTACCACATTTTCATTAGATATATATTTTTTTGTATTTGTATGTATTAGGTTTGACTTCTGCAAATTGCGAGTGTGATATTAAATTATTACAATTAATTTATTATGATTTAGTCCAACTCTGTCAATCCTTAGTATAAATATGTCGTTGTAAAAAAAAACATCTCATTAATATAAGCCTACTGCTTCAATTCTTTTTTTTTGTTATGATTAATATTATTTACTCCAAATTTGAGGCCCAAATTAACATATCTTAATCTTACCTTGTTATCCCGCCCTTCCTTACCCAAGAACTTAAAATACCCTATAGCAACATATATTGGCTATAATGGCAAAAGAATAGCTTGGTGAGTAGTTGGCATGGAATTTGATCATACTCAATTGGTAACTTGACCACACACATGTAGTGAAAACTAAATATAGGATCACCATGGCATGTTATGAAAAGTTTGGCATGTGTTTTGATCAGATTCAATTAGTCATTTGTCTAATATATGAAATATATGAAGGTGGCCATCAATTTTTGAGATAATAATTGTTTTTTTTTTTTTGTGTGTGTAATTTAATAGGATATCACTTTTAATTCTAGAGTTAACCTTAGTCACATATGACTTGGCACTTCCCGTATGTCGAAACCATGGGCATGCATTATTTTATTATAGATTGTGATAGAACAAAAGTAACCAATCCAAGCCAAAATTTTAGGCCGACAAAAGGACAATACAAACTAGTTTAAATTAATTTGGGTAAACTAATTTGTGGTTAAATCCAAATTAACGTTTATGTTGGTCCCAATAGATATGAGAGTGAGATGCATACTTTGCTATTCCTTGAGGACAAAGATATTTGTCTTTGAAAAGCATTTGTGCGCAGATGTGTTACTTGCAAGTCGCTTCAACTTTTAAATTCCATATACAATGAAAGGTGCTCTCTCATAAAGCCAAAATTATAGGGTAATATATTAGGTGAAAAGTATAGAAATCGAGGCATATTGCTAGACAAATGTCACTTTTTGAAGATTGACATGCTTCGCGTGTAATCAAAATCGCAGATTGAGAATTATAAAGGATTAATTAGTGAATACAACCTTTTGATTTGTAAACAAAGGTTAATTGGAAACAATTACTAAAGCACGCAGACTTAGCTATTAAGAGAGAGATATTTTCTTTTTCTTTCCTTAAGATATTAAGAGGGAGTGCCATTAAATATTACGGTCTAATTGCATTCATCTTCACTTGTAAGTGAGAGGTCTTAAGTTCGATTATTGCCAAAAACAAATTTGAACCACATAAGTACTAACATATTGTGAGGTTTAGCCTACTCCCCAACCCAACCACTTTAGTTTGTTCAAAAATAAAAAAAAATAAAAAAAGGGAGCGTTTCCCTCGCACACGATATGATGAACTTATTAAACCTTGTGTTCATAATTCAAATGACATTACTATGGATTCGTTTTTTTTTTTTTTTTTTTTTTTTTGGAAGTACGATATTCATTATATGAGATAGAAAACTTACAAGCAAAGAGGATAAGGTGCTAACAATGGGCCTTGATAAAAACCTTGCCGATGATTTCAACCCAGATCAAGAGAAAAAGAGCATCCCACTCCTCTAAATTAAATAGTAATACTATGCTCAAAAAGCAAATAAGAGATTACATCAGGAAGTTCTTCAAACCAAGAAACCTGAGTATCTAACAATAAGCCCAATCTTGCGAGCCGATGTGCAGTCTTATTCGTCTCATGTCGACCAAACGTGACCTTCCGATTCGAAAAAGACTTCAACAGTTGACTAGCATCATTCAAAATATTCCCAAAGGTACCATTGCATAGAGTTGCCGCATCCTTTTGCAAAGCATTGATAACCATCATTGCATCCCCTTGCACTTCCAAATGAGTTACTCCCAGGTCATGAGCAAAAAAAACTGCTACTCGAGCAGCCATGATCTCAACCAAAATTATCGAACTGACCCCTCAAAATTTCATAACTGGAGCTGCCACAGAAGCACCATTCTCATATCGAATCATCATGCCCATACCCCCTAGCTTGCCTAGCTCGTCTCACGTGCCATCGAAGTTGCATTTAAGCCAGCCCACATCAGGTTTCTCCCATTTTTGAGGGATTGACGGTTTGAAGCACTTCTTGGAACCATGCCACTTCCTAAATTCTTGCAGCCAAGCTTGGGATTTGCAGTTAATATCCACCTGATTCAAAGCCGTACCATTCCATAAGAATGAGTTACGTTCCTTCCATATACTCCATATCAAGATCAAAGCTAAGTCAAAGCTTTGACGAGCAAGTAATCCCGCCACCTCTACCAGCCACATACAGAAACCACTGTGGATATGCCTTTCCGTCCTTAAACATAATGGGCTGGAAAACCAGATAGACGCTAATCTTGGGCATTCCAACAACGTATGTTCAACACTTTTTGTGCCTCCATTACAGAAAAGACAAGTGTCCATCGTGATCACCTTCCTTATCTTCAAATTTTCTCGAGTTGGTAAGGCGTTTAGACAGCATCGCCATACGCATATCTTAACCTTTTATGGTACATAAGCTCTCCACAGAGCCTTCCACATATATTTTAACTCCCCATTCAGAACTAGTGGATTCATCCCCACCTATATTTCCACCAGACCGAGCTACCAAGTAAGCACTTTTAGTCGAAAACACTTCATCCTTCTCCGCAACCCAAATTAATCTATCCAGTGGCTTGAAATAACTCAAGGGGATACTCAAAATCAACTTTGCCTCTTCCTCAAAGAATATGCACTTAATTAAATCCACATTCCATTGGACACACCCCTCATCCACCAACAGACTATCCATTGTAGTATC